AAGTAACGCTTCGAAACGTTCGCAAATGTCAAAGTGTGCTCCAAAATCTTGCACGGATAACTTTGTAGGAATAGAAATGCAAGTCTTTCGAAATGCGGCAATAACTTCGGTTTGAAATATTGAAGTAGAATTGTTATTCTTAAAATAAATTTCAACCACAAAAGAATGTTGAATATTTAACCAACCCTCCATATTCTAAATTGACATTTCTCACAATGGCTTTGACAACTGACTTAAACTTCCATTTATCGCGAAAGCACGGCGACTTGATTTTAATTTGTGTCAATATATCGACGCTTTAGTACGAAAATATGCTATCTCAGATTTCGGTTGGAAAACATGCTATCTCAAATTTCAGTTGGAAAACATGCTAACTCAGATCTTTAAGTAAAAACATGCTATCTCAGTGTGACTAGAAATTTAAGTTGGCACATTGAATGATTGAAACCGTAAATTTATAATAAACTTATATAATATATTTTTAAAAAAGTAAGGAATGTTTATGTTTAGGTACACTGTTTATTTTTTTTCAACATTTTTCAATTAATTTTGTTAAGTTACTGTTATAACGACAAAATTGTTAATTAAAAAAATTGAATAATATGCAGTATGTTGCAATTACTCAATGTTTTTTGAAATAACAAAAAATAGTGTATACCTTAATATATAAAAATTTTTGTTAAATCTAAAAATTATTCAATTTTTTTCGTACAAGTTTGCTTTGATGTCAAAATTAATAGCGTACTCTTATCTGACTTATATAAAGTTTATTATAAATGCACGGTTTCAATCATTCAGTGTGCCAACTTAAATTTCTAGTCACACTGAGATAGCATGTTTTTACTTAAAGATCTGAGTTAGCATGTTTTTCAAGCTTTATTTGACATAGCACGTTTTCCAACTGAAATTTGAGATAGCGTGTTTTCCAACCGAAATCTGAGATATATGCTATATGTCTTTTCGTTTCTGATCTTAGTTCTGAGGCTTTTAGCTACCTTTCGAAGATTTATTGGACGATGTTCATATGTATTTAGTGACTGTGGAACTAATTTCACTGCGGCAAGTAGATATATTGCTGATTTAATGAAAACCGCTGTCGAAACAGAAAAAATCTCATGGAGTTTCAATCCTCTGTCAGCTCCTCACTTTGGTGGTTTGTGGGAGGCTGGTATTAAATCAGTAAAATCTCACCTTTTTCGTACTATTGGACAACAAATTCTGACCTTTGAAGAGTTTTCCACACTCCTCACCCAAATTGAAGCCCTTCTTAATTCGCGTCCCATTTGTTCCATGAGCTCTTATCCTAACGATCTTCGTGCCTTAACTCCCGGACATTTTCTAACCTTAGAACCATTAACAGTTTTGCCAGACAGAGATCTCAACCATCTGAAACTAAATACTTTAAGCAGATGGTAGCTTTTGCAACGGTTTCATCAGGATTTTTGGAAGCGATGGCACCAAGAATATCTTCATACTCTGATTCAGAGAAACAAATGGACCAAACATATTTCATTGATTGTGCCTGGCACGTTAGTTTTAATTAAAGAAGATACTGTTTCACCTTTAAATTGGCGATTAGGTCGCATTGTTAACCTTCATCCCGGAAAAGATGGAGTTGTTCGCGTGGCAACTCTTCGTGTTGGCAAAGGCATTACACAAAGACCTCTTGTTAAGCTCTATCTGTTGCCAAATCAACAACAATAAAATACTCAACTTTGTATTTTATGGTGGGCGGTATGTTGCATCCGCAAGTAATAATTTAGTCTTAATATTAGATATTAAGTATTTTTGTTTAAAAACTATTGAATAATTATTCCGTGGAGAAATTTGTTATGTGTTGGCAATTATAATTTTCGTGTTTTTTTGTAATATTTAGTTTTTTTTGTATAAAGTATTTTTACATCAGGGAAAAAAGGTTGCAAGCGGCACTTCTAAAACCGACTCGTTTGTGTACGCACGTGAATTGACCGTCAAGTGAATTTTCGTTAAAATCTAACAAGAAAGAAACTGGATGCTGCATCATCGGTAAGTCGCTTTGCAACCAGTCGCTTTTATCTTTTCGTAATCAATTTTGTTCATTCACATACAGTCCGCTAAAATTCGTAACACTAGCACTTCGTTAAGTATTGTAATATGAGTGGCAAGATAATGTAGACATTTGAAAAATATTTTTTGCACCCAAACTGCTCATTTAATTAAAATTCTATAAGAGGCCCAAAAACTTCCAAATGGTATCACCTATCAAATAAAAAATAGTTGGCATTATTGCCCGAAAGAGGAAAAAGTCATGAACGGATATTATCACCATACATCAATTTTATAGGAGTTGTAAGTTTAAAAAAACATTGTATAACACCAAAATGTGTAGATTGAAAGTCCTCACCCCAAAAATAATCGAAATCGAATAATATGTATTCGAGTTATTTACAAAATTCAAAAAATTTTCAGGAACTGAGGCCATCTAGCGGCCAAACGAAGCGATTTTGGATATAGGTGAATAGCTTAAATCTGCCTATTTTGAGTGCACGAATTTGTGGTTTTCCGTTATACACCTTATTCTGGGACACCCTGTATACCTTTGTCCTGTATTACGAACTCGATAAAAGATAAAAATATTCTTGGTGGAAACTCATGCAATGCAAAAAGGTTAAAAATGCTGTAAGTTTCATAAAATTAAGATCTGTGCCAGACTCCCATCAAATTTAATCAATATAACATGACATCAAAATTAACTTTCATGGAATTATATTTTCATTTTGATCACATTAGTAAAATAGAATTATTTTTTCGAATATGTTTTGTACCCATCATTTTTAATTAGATACCAATAAATAGAGAATTAGCCTAAATCTGCCAAAGTTGGGTCCACGAATTTGTGGTCTTTCGTTGTACACGTTATTCTGGGACACCTATATATAATTCTTGACTATGTTTAGCATAGGCTTAATGGCACCGCCTCGAAAAATGTTGTTATGATGAAATCGTTGCTGTAGCTAAATAACCCCATTCGAGAAACTGCCCAAATTTTAGGCAAGACTAATTTGTGTAGAAATACATTATATGTAACAATCTGGAAAGGATTGACCAGCTAAAATTAAAGATATTCATACTCAAACTTTCACATTTTTCATATAATTCTTCACATAAATGAAACACGGCAACGTCGCACTATAATTCATTTGGACTTAGGTATGGACAAAATTAAGTAGGGCCTCGTAGAAAAAAGATAAAAAAAACAAAAAATAGCGTTTTAAAGCTTAAGAGGAACAGATTGCGGGAAAAATAATCACATTTCACCACCACTGCATTTACACCCTCAAAATTGAGCCCCAAAATTATAATTTTGAAAAAAATTACATTTTTTTGCTCCCTCGTTTGCTAAATTTTTTTTTTAATTGATACATAACATTTTTTTATTGCTTTTGAGATGGGGAATAAGGATCCATTGTTTAAATTGAACTAAAAAAATTTAGAACTCTTAAATTTACGAATATTTCAGTTTATGATGTTTTTAACTCTGATTTCCGCTGTTATGCATCGATTTGCTTGAAATTTGGAAAGTAAGTGGGGAATAGCTCAAGAAACAAAATACACCCATGCTGATATATATTTTTACCCTGGGGGTGATTTCTACCCCTTTGTAGGGTTGAAAATAAATTTTGTCAAAATAATCCCGGGAATCGATAGAGCAACTAATTTCAAACAAGAAATGTGTTATACAATTTTTTTCAAAAACTATAAAATAATATTTTGCATCATTTGAGAATTTTTTTTTTCAAACAAGAGAGCAAAAAAATGTAAACTTTTTCCAAAATTATAATTTTGGGGCTCAATTTTGAGGGTGTAAATGCGGTGCTGGTGAAATATAATTATTTTTCCCGTAATCTGTTCCTCTTAAGCTTTAAAACGCTATTTTTTGTTTTTTTTTTATCTTTTTTTCTACGAGGCGCTACTTAATTTTGTCCATACCTAAGTCCAAATAAATTATAGTGCGTCGCACGTAGAAGTTAGGTTAGTTTGCTTGCGCACTGACATTCTACAAAATTTTGAACTAAAACATTTTTCGTTTCAGTTTCCTTTTTTTTCGTTTAAAGAGACTTATAAAATAAATCCAACAATTCCTGCACAATTTTTTTAAAACTTACCAAACGATTGTAATGCATCTACTATATTTAATACTAATCTAACCTAACTTTGTGCTCTGTAGAGATGCGCTTTGTACGACGTTGCCAGTTGTCGAAACTACGTGAGTCAAATATGAGACTTGCTCGAAAGTTTCCTACTTGAACTCGTACTTGGGACATAACTATCATCTTAATTTCAATAATTACAATTACTTTAGTGGCACACTTTTATAAAAAAAATTATATTAATGTACCCCAAGACTGTCGTGAAGTGGGAAAACTCTTTAATTAAAATTTTACAAGAAAATATAATTCTTTGTATGATTTCATGCTCCTGCTCATTCTTAAGCTCATAAAAATATTTTCTTGAAACTTCATATTTATGAACTCTGGAATTTCTAACGATATTTATTTGTGAAATTTTTTAATATTTAAAAATTTTAGGTATTTACTTTGTTTATTGCCATTTTAAAATTAAATTATAAAACAATATGTTGCACTAAATAAAAAAGATATATTTGGTATTGTTTGTATATTATGTTGACTTTAAACATGATTAGACGTAAAGAAAATAATTATTTTTGAAATATTTATTCACAATTAATTTGTTATAAAAAATGAATAACTTCAAATCATCATTGACTACCCTAATAGTATTTTTTTTCATATTTACTCAAAAAATATTAAACCTCAGTCTTATTAAATTAAAATTATTTGAAACTTTATTTAAAGAATGCTACTTAACTATTACAGCTACATTACTAAATGTTAATCATTAGTATTAGTAAATGAATATTTATATTGCATTAAAAAGGAGAAAAACATTTTAACTACGAAGTAATATATAATTTAATAGATACTTTTCTGACTTTTTAGAGGGAAGTTGCAGACAGTTATGCAAATAACGCTAGGATAATAGAGAAACAATTAGAAAGGAAAGGTGTCAACAAAAGAAAACAAGAACAGAGTAAATCACAAGAAATGAAAAAAGTGCGAGGAACCCTTATTGATAAATAAAAGTAACATTTTCTTCTGTATTTAAAAAATATATTGTTTTGTTTTATAAACATTTTTATTATGATTTTATTACTATTATGTATAATATTGACTAGAAAGATTTTCCTGGTAACAACGGAGTAGTTTCTTGAGATCGTGCAGCCCTTTCAGTCTGTCTGAAATTTCTATCATGCAATGCAATACAGCTTTGTCTCATAGCTAATGGTCCAAACATGTTTGGCCCTTCTGCCTTCCAAATCGAGTTTCTAGGAAATGAGGAGGCCGCAAAACTCTGTAACGTGGCCCGAGTTTCTCTCAAATTTGGAATTGAGTGGTGTATGCCTTCAAATTCTGTTACCGAAGCTTGTTCAACTAGATTTTCAACACTGCCATAGAAAATATCACTGTCACTATAATCTGGCATATCATCCAAAATATTGTCTACAAACATTTGAGCTTCAGGAGGAGGCACCCAATTAGGATTTGTAGTTGTAAAATGAACTAAGGATAATTCCACTTTTCCATCTTCGGCTTGCAAATAATGATCAGGTGTTATCGCATCCATGGACTCTAAATAAGCCTTTTGCCAATTTGGATTTCCATGTTTTTTAACATCCATTTGAGCAAAGCTGCAAACATCTCCAACTCCAACCACTGACACAGTGAAATGTCGAAAAAAGTCCACGATTTCTAAAGACCTCGGATACACCCACCAAATTAGAAGGAATGGTGTCATTATTGGTGATACCAATTGTTCAAGCAAAGTTACAAAACGGTATTGGAAGAGTTGTTGGAAGCCTTCTCTTACTCTTGAAGTATGCGCATGACTTTTCCAATCAGATACCATATAATGTGTATGCACAACAACAGCCTGCAAAAGCGACTCTGGACACCAGACCATAGACTCTTCTGGGACAACACCCCTACAAACTGCAATTGTTGCTCCTAAAATTGTCATCAAAGTTATAAAATGTTCTACTACTATGACGTCTCCATCATATACAGTAAATAATACCAATGTAGCCAGAAGTGATCCACAAATAAATCCGATATGTTGAGCTATTACAGTTACGAGAGGACTACTAAAAGCTGATAAATATTTTGTCGATGGTCGATAAGCTCTACCAAGTCTTGCTTGTAATTCATGGTCCAACTCATTAAAATGTCTAAAATACAGTTTTCCATATAAAGACCAATTTCTTATTCCAATTTTTCCAGGTTCTCTCCTAATAGACTCTGTATAATAAAAAAAGGTATAAAGAACTTGCCACACCAGAATAGCTGGCGCCAAAATGAAATTTGTAAATGCCAACCATAAAATTTGTTTGCTAAGTCGACTTGCTAATTCATGCCGTAAATTATGTCTTTTGTACTCTTCTCTTAGATGCCAGGGATTTTCAAAGGGTGACCATGGAGACCAAAATAATAATATCTGAAGATTTAATTTTAAAGCTTTTGTCCAATACACACATTCTCCTATAAATGGTACATTTATTCGTGGAGGCAATAATCGTTTATTTACTAGAGCTACCATATAGTTTTCTTGTCGTAAAATACGTTGATAGATATCTAGTTCTGTTAACTCTCTCTTATGTATACACATCTGTTGTTCCAGTTGCACAGCTCTAACTTTGATTTGGATTTCGTGCCAGTTTAAATTGTCTAATTCGTTATCTTGAATTCCAAGGACAGTGTTGTAAAATTGTTTTATGTCCCAAAATTGAAGAAACTGATAAAATCTATTTAATATTTTTAATATAAGAAATAAGGACGCTATTATGAGACAAAACCAAGTTAAGGGCTTAAATTTTCCAAAAGTTTCATCAAAACCACGAATAATTTCATGTAATGTGGGCTTATGATCTGCTTTTGGATTAAACATGATTTCATAGTTAATTCCATGGACCACCCATACTGTTAAAAATACCACAAAAATAAACTGGTTTACATCAAATATATCTCGAAGCATCATACATCGAAATCCATGGTATTGATGATATTTGTATATTCTTGAAAAGAATGAATCCAAATCCTCAACATGGTTCCATCTTGATCTTGTAGCTTCTGCCTGATGGAACAATATGCCATGATCATCTGGAGTTTCATGGGTTTCTTGCAATGAAGCGTAATTTTGCATAATAAAATTGATTTAACCTAAAAATAACGAAAATAATTACAAATTTAATAAAACATCTTCAAACACTTAATGCGTATGTATTAAAATAAGGAAAAAAATAGATCAGATTCTAAAATGACAGATTCTCAATAATTTCAATATATAGGTAGCGGCATGAGCAGGTCATCATTTACATAGCATATGAAAATATTAAATATTCCCTATTGAGCACCTTTTTATATTAGGGTTGCCAATTTGTTATGAATTTGAAAAATAGAAAATTTGCAATCATGCACGGTAAAACGGTCATTAGTCCAGGCAAGTTAGATCAAAATCACCCAGAATACGGAGATTTTTTTCTGATGAACCGATCGAGTTGCGGTTTTTGGCATTGTCTTTGGAAAAATATCAGGAAAACACTTTTATCTATTACACTTTGGGGCTGGATCGAAACTGCATTGCGGGTGCATCAATTTTTCCGAATTATTAAAAAATGGTAAAAATTGACTAAAAGTTGTAGAAATTTGCGTGCACGGGTTTTCGGGGTCGGAGATTCCGAATCTGACCCTGAAAAATATGCCCGACGGTCCTGGGGCCCCCCAGATGGGCAAGGGGGGCCTTCTGTAAAACATCGAATAGCTGAGTAATTGCCTTCTAATTTTCCACTCGGGGGTTTTTGGGGTCGGGGATTTCGATTCTGACACTGAAAAGTATGCACGACGCCCCTGGGCCCCCAGGGGGCAAGGGGGCCTTCTGTAAAATATCGAATATAGCTGAGTAATTGTCTTCTAAATTTCTACTCGGGGGTTTTCGGGGTCGGGGATTCCGAATCTGACACTGGAAAATATCCATTAATCTTAGCTTGTCTATCAGTGAGAAAAATTGTCTTAGAATTGGAGAAATCCTGGACAATCCGTTTCCAAGAAACACATTTCGTTAAATCAAAGAAATATTCCTTAAAACCGAAGAATATTTCATGAGTCATAGATTTTCAAAAGAATCTCTTGGGCTTGTGCGACTGCGGATAATGCATAACATAACAATTAACTAACAAAATCCGATTATCGACAATGTAGATATTGACAGGTATAAAGCTAAGTAAAAGCTAAAGCTAAGGTAAAAGCTAAGTTAATCCTCACAATCGAGGGGCTAGAGCAGCACCTTAAACAGGTATATAGTGTATTACCAAGTGCGTGAATGGCATGAGGCGCATTTGGATCCATTGAAGTGGGGTTGGAGATCTATCAATGGAGAACTAACGCCGATTCCCGTGACGGAGGAGCCGGGGCCTCCAAATATAATGAGCATGGTTAAATGCAGCTGCATTGAGGCTACGGACTGTGGCAGATCTTGTGGGTGCAGGAAGCATGGAATTACATGCACAATTGCATGTATAAATTGTTCAATCTTGAAATAGTCGAAAATGTAATAGATGATAGTGATGGAGACAGTGTATACTGATGATGAAAATTATGATTGATAGTGAAAGTGTTAAATAAACATATGATAGTAGTTGTCTCACTAATTGCGTTGCAAATAAAAAGAAAATTTGTTCTCAGAATAAAGGGGATTCTTTTCGACTCATTAATTTCCTGTTAGTTTTTCTTACCCTTCTTCTCTAATCTCTGTAAATTTACGTTTGTTATAATGTAAAGATGAGCCTACAAGATCATGGTTGGTAAGCAGGTGGAGCAGTTTTATTGCAAAAATCTGATGTGCTTTTCGATGTTTTCCAGAAAGCCCACCCCACGGGCGTCTGGCGTACTTTTCTGTGTCAGAATCGGAATCCCCGACCCCGAAAACCCCCAAGAGAAAGTTTAGAAGGCAATTGCTCAGCTATTCTATGTTTTACAGAAGGCCCCCCTTGCCCCTCTGGGGGACCCCAGAGGCGTCGGGCATATTTTTCAGTGTCAGAATCGGAATCCCCGACCCCGAAAACCCCCGAGTGGAATTTAGAAAGCAATTACTCAACTATTCGATGTTTTACAGAAGGCCGCCCCCCTTGCCCCCCTGGGGGGCCAGGGTCAGATTCGGAATCTCCGACCCCGAAAACCCGTGCATACACATTTCTACAACTTTTAGTCAATTTTTACCATTTTTAGAAAATTCGGAAAAATTGATGCACCCGCAATGCAATTTCGATCCAGCCCCAAAGTGTAATAGATAGACTTTTTCCTGATATTTTTCCGAAGACCATGCCGAAAACCGCAACTCGATCGGTTCTTCAGAAAGAATTTTCTGATTTATTGTCTAACTTGCCTGGTCTACATGTTATTCAATGGAACAAGAACAACACAAAGAAGGTTAACTGTAAAAACAAAACTAAATTAATCCGTGTTTATTTTGTTAAATGGTGGTAGACGAACAACGAAGTAAATAGTAAGTAAAGGTAAATTCATGAAGTAGCGATTTGCGAATTGTGATTTGTGGATTTCAAATTGATTGGTTGAAATAATAGTATATTACGTAATAAGTGTTGTAAAAAGCATTTTACGCATGAATGGAAAAGTTACGCACGACGCCGCGTAGCGGCGAGTGCGTAATTCTATGAGTGCGTAATTGCATTACACCACGTATTACGTACTATACTTTACCTACGACCACTACTGTAAATACTTAAAAACACACCGTCTGCGATCAATGTAAGATTCCTATTTTACGTACGGTAAAAAAATCGCACAGCTTGGTAAAAAAATCGTACAGTTTTCCTAGCAACCGCCTAGCAACGGTCAATACAA